AAATATGCATTATTTGTTGAGCAATCCTAAAAGAAAATCAAAGAGAAACGTAAAGAATGTTGCTAATCCTTTGTCGCTATAAGTATGACATTTAAAAGCCAGTAAAGCGCTATGCTTTGGCAATGGAAACAAAAATATTATCTTGCCTGTGACCTTGGCTGCTAGATTTCAGCCCAGCTAATGGCACCTACGTCTTCAAGCCAAATGATATGCTATAGGAACATTACAGAGCTGAAAGGTGAGTGTGCCTGGGTTATTTCTGCAGAGCACTCTCTTTGCACTAGACCGTGAACGCCTGCTTGTTCTGTGGCTGGCACCGGGATGGGTCCTGTCTCCGAGGGCTGCAGGACTCAGGAGATGCTCCTACTGGGTCGCATTATTTCTACGGCAGCAAGTTTCAGGAGGGATAGCAGGGGCAAAAGGTACAAACAACGTGGTCAGGGGTGTTTGACCAGTTAATGAACAGGATTTCATGAGACAGTCGCCTGCGATTCAAGGAGACTGGCTTTTGTGACCCCAAAAGTCTCTTCTGGCCTGGTATCACCCCGATGCTAATTGGTTCTACTTTATTAAAGACTTTAACTGCTGACTTCAGCTACTGAAAGAAACAGCCCTGTGGCTCTTACCAATCCTGTACTGTGACTTGTAAAAACAGAAGAAAAGAAAAAAGATGTTAAAAATATAAAGCAAAATCTAAAGTTGGAACAGAACTGGCTTTTATCTGTTTCAGTCAAAAGTGAGTTCACTAGATACAGTAGTATTTCTTTGAATGGAACAAATAAACCTCAAAGATTTTATAATGAATACCCTCTCTACACATTTCTACACAGCAGTCTATAAAACTGGGAATGAGAGATGTCATTCTTAAACACATACCACAAGACACTTTTCTCACAACTCCAATAACAAGGTATCATTTTCTATCCAATCCTATTTGGCTTTTCCATAAGGAACTGTAAAAACCTCTCTCAAAATCCTGGCACCAGCGCATGCAATAGGAATCCTAACACTGACTCTGCTGGAGCAGAATCTCCCTTTTCAAGAATAAAGCCTTGGGAGGAAAAAAAATAGCATGTTGATTTTGTTGCTGAGCCAGCTATTTAACTCCACCAGCTAGCAGAAACAAAGGGAAACCAAATAAAACTATAAAGTGCATGTTCATTTTGGACAAATAAGCCAAAACCCTTTGAAATTTATGGCTCTACACCATCCCTACCTGGTAAGTCATACAGAAAGCTGCGGCTGCAGCTATCAACGATCACGTAAATAAATTTTATTATGCTGTGCAATACCAGTACAGTTAGACACACTAATCATGGGAGAAGGGGAGGTTGCTATTTTTTTCCTGTCCCATATGGTAATAATTTTGTATGATTGAACTGTTATGAGCTAAATAAAACTACACATTAACTGTGAGATACATTGCAAATACATTAAATCTTCCCCGGAGTTTTAGCAAATACTCGGTTTTTCTATGATGCATTTGGAATTAGCAAAGGAATCTACACTGGGCCGTAGGATTTATAAATAGATTTGGCTTCCTCTGCAATACTTTATGGGCAATTATTTCAGAAATGAAGATGCAGAGCCACAAATAAATAAAATAATTGCAGCTGATCAGGCTTTATTTACCGCTATCGCATTTCCCTGACTGTTAAGCTTTCCTCCTCTCATTTGCTCCACTAGCCTGAACCAGTAACCAGATGAAGAGTTCTCAGTTAATGTCAAACACTGAGCACAAAAGGTGCCAAAGGCAGATTCTGGTTTCCCCATTTCCAAATCCTGCCTGGGCCTTCCTGGAGCTGGCTTACTCCCAGATAAATTCAGCGAATAACTGGGAGGCTGGGAAAAGGCAGAACAAGTCAGATGGGTTCTGCAGGGTTTCAAGCAATTTGCCAGGGATTACATTTCGCTGTGACTCCGCTGCAGAAGTCACTTCCAAAGGTCTGGAGACCTCCGCCTGCACTAGCAGATGCCCGGCGGTGTCAGGGAAGGGTTCATATGGTCTCCCCTATCTGCTGCAATCCTGCTCAAACAGGTATTAATTCAGTTTGGAAGGTACTGAGTACAGCTATGCACAGCAAAGCCAGTGCTCCAGGTAGTTCAAATGAAGCAAACCTGGGTAGAAACTGGCCTCACACCTGCATATTGCCGATTCGTACCTCACACCATTCAGCTTTCAGATCTCAGACAGGGTTGTAAACTCAGGATTATCAATTTTCCTTGGGATCAGGCCTGAAATCCTGCTGATACTAACTCTAAAAAACAGTGGCTCAGTTCAGTTTAACATAGAGATGCAACTCACATTGCCCCCTCCAGCACGGAAGAGATGAACCGAGGCCCCAGTTTTCATTTGCAGCTGGACACTCAGTGCTGTTTAATGGTTGTGTTACCTGGGATTCATGAAGAAGGTTGCTTGTATGAAGAGCTTGTCAATGCAGGAGAGAGAAAAGCATAATTTCTCCTGCTTTGAAAAGTATGGAGCTGATAACCCAGTAATAACTGAAACACATAGGATGCACCACATGGGGATGTCCTGACTATCCTCCAAGGGCTTCCTTCAACAAGTTGATCTCAGAAGTAGCTGCCAGGATGACGTTTCATTTAAAAAATTAAGCTATTTAGAAACAAATGTCCTTTATACTACCAGTTCTGATGACCAGAGATGTCTGGCCTCAATCTGTGAGCTCCCTATAGCCTCCTGTCCCGGGAAGGCATACCCAGCTTTGTGAAGCCTGGATCAAAAGGGTACCCTGCAGAAAAGAGGGAGCACCAGAAACAGTCTGGAAAGCGTCTAGGGCCTGAGGAAGGTCCTACAAGAAGAAGTCTCAGAGCTTTAAAGCCTGATTTTTTAAATTTTTTATTTTTTTTTTTTTTTAGTTCTAGGCTGCTTATTTCTGTATAGAGATATTACAAACCTCTCCAAGAACTTAATCAACAACAGTCTGTAAACTGGTGGAAGAGGCCAATGGGACCAGATGCCAAAGGAGCTAGGAAGATTTACGCTAGCTGAGCATCTGGCTCCCTGTTCACTGTTATCAGAATGAAGACAAATGCTTGCAAACATCCTTATTCAAAATCACTAATGTGTTCAGCAATGCTCAGCGCAAATGCGGCAGTGTTGCTGCTGTAAGGTGTGGTGCCTGGGAACACAGCTGCTGAATGCCCTAATGCTGCTTTTTTCCAGTGGTGTATGCAATGCAAAGAGCAGTGAGAAAATAGGGTGTTGCTGCCCTTCAAATCAAGCAAAGGGAATGATTAAGACATCATCATTTTCTATTATTGTTCTAGTGGATGGTAGTAATTGCTTCTACACAGGAACGTGGCTACACCTCTATTGTCATCCATCATCTTGCCAAGGCTGTGCATAGTACAGTAGAAACGGTAAACTTTTGATTTGACCTCATTAGCATTCCCAGAATTACAATGTCATACCAATGATAAAGATTGAGATTATCTGCATATCAGCAAAGGGAGGAAAAACAAATCACACATCATGGAAAAAGCCAACAGCGCAACCACGATTCTGCCAAACACTTACAGGCTGCTCAAACCTGCCTGGTTCTTGATTTTGCATGTGGAGCAGGACATAATTAAAAATTGTGCCTGTATGCATCAAACTTGCAGATGTGCGGGGATGGGCCCATGCATTGATGATCTGAAGATCTGAGGATTTGGGGAGAGCTCAGAGAGAGGAAGGGAAGATGTTGGAGTAGATGCTCTCTGATACCACCTTCCCTCCAACTTGTCAGTATTATCTGTGCTTCCTCTGACCTCTCCCAGGCAATCAGTGATCCACTAGGAACTTGGAGACATTTGTGTGCAATTTGGGAAATAACACAGAGATATTTGGCCTTTGCATAAATGCCATGTGCTGCCTGAAGTTCATAGGATTTCCTTGTGATCCCCTGCAGAAATGCACCTAAGGAGGGCTCCTGCTCAAACATGAGCCCGTCTGGCAGTCAAATAAGATCAAGTCAAATCTGGACTTGTCTGAGGTCAGTCTATAGCAAAATCTGTACTGAAACAGGGAATTTCTCAGTGTCCAGCCAGCAGCTGAAGCCCTGAGCTGTGGTCCTCACTACAGCTGTAACACAATGCCAACACATATTCCAAACCACTCATTCTCTGTTACTTTAGTCTTCTACAGGTTATCCTAGAGGAAATTAACTGAACTTCCCTACAGTGGGAACAAAAGAAGGAAATGAATTTATTATTCCAGTGGTACCCTCGACACAGAGCATTGAGTATCTTCATTAAACATTTTGAAGCCCCAAGTGTCTTTACTAAACCCTCTACAATAAGCACAGAGTCATTTTCCTTATTACAACACAAACGTACAGGTCAGGATCCAGAGCTCATTTACATCTGCTTTCTATCTGACTAACCTCCCTCATCTCAATGGGATCTGGGCAGGTGCAAATCAAGGCTGCATCATCCCAGTCCTTCCCTTTCTCTCGAGATTCATTACCTTGCAGTACCACTCTCAGATAAACTCATTTACACAGAGTCAGCATAGCCACAGCCAAATGACTAATACATCCCTTTAATACAAACAACAATAAATCAACGGATTAAATTATAATTTATCAGGCAAATACTATTTAGCTCTTCCCAAAGCTGTTCTGAACCATCTCTCTTGTCTGGCCATACTCTAGAGAACTGATACTAGATAAAGCTCAGACCTGTGGAGCAAGTTTACATAAGAAAGAAACGCTGAAAACATCCTGTATTTATGATGGGAATTTCACAGAGATCAGAGTGAATAACATTCCTGAGAAGACTGCAATGTATCTGAAGCCTCCTCGGTACCTTTTCCAAAGACCAGTCTAGAAGGGCAAGGTTTCAACAGCCCCTGAAGCTCTCTATTCATCAGCCTGCCTAGGGAACCAGACGCATTAACGTTTAGAGGTACTATAGCAAACTTTTAAGGGCTTAGAAAATGGCAACAGGCTATTCCACCACAATTTCACTTTACAACACAGACATTTTTTACTTACTTCATTGGTTTGAACAACGCTTGTCCATAGTTCTGAAATGTCATGATCAGCTTCAGCTGGGTGCCTCCTGATTTCATCGCTGTGGGAAAAAACCAAAACCGCTTTAAAATGCTACATGTGGATCTACTTACATTCAGCTTCCTTGAAACAAAATCACATATCTTTTGCTCTGTATTAGATTCAGCACTGCAGTATCTGAGCACCAAGCAGGGTAATCATAACTGGACAGCAGATTATTCAGCGGGTGCAGAGTACAGGGGATGACTTTGAGCTACCAACTAGGACTAAAAATGGATTGTACTCCCTGGCATGTCTTTGTCTTCTTCAATTGGCCACTATGGGCTCCATAAGCACCCTAATTGGAACGTTATGTATAGGAACAGACCATTGCAGTCTTGTTTTCTCCATCTTCAATCGCTTTTGGAGTTCCTTTTAACAAGGGACACACACTGGGAAAGGAGATGGGGTGCTTTCAAAGACAACTGTGGCTGGGATGTACAGTCCAATGAGCAGCAGACATCTTAATTAAAAGTATGAGCAGATACTATAGCAACCTCTGAACTCTGCTGTGATTTTAATAATTGTTGCTGAGCAGTAGAGATATGTAAATTCATCTCCTCTACGCACAAGGGATATGTATCCAAGCCCATCCATTAACTTCAAGAGATCCCAGAGGGGCTGGTACATGAGAGCAGAGTGGGTCGCTGGCTCTGCTGGGAGGGCAGGAGGGGGGCAGGCACTGCGGTCCTTGCTGCACACCGAGGACCACCTTTGCTCAAACATTAAATGCGCTCACTTCCCAGTTGAGAGCCAATGGGAATTTAAGACAGACATTTGTTCATACCAGTCTGAACAATTTGGACAACATCATGTTAACAGCTAGATTACGGTGTTTCTAAAGTCACAGCAAATTTTTTTTATATATAAGAATTCATAAAAATGCAGTTTACTTGATGATAAGGTTACTAAAAAGATAAATAAATACTTTGGCAAACCAGCGGCTTTTTTACCATCTCAATCAAAACTGCTCTGAATTAATGAAATGACCTATGCCCTGACTCCTTAATTCACTTCTGTGTTCAGAGAGGCAGGCCATGGCAGTCTGCGTGGATGAGTCAGTCCTTTAAAAATGCTTCCTACGAATGATCAGATAATCAATCCCTTTCTTTACAGATCTGACAAAACCTGTGTCAACTGGAGAACTACATAAATGTCAAGCTACCTTGCTCTGGAAATTTTGGCTTAGAGCTGCCCTTGTTCCACCTATATTGCTTGTACATTTTTTTTCTCTAACCAATGCCATTAGCTGCACATTCCTTTAATTACTAATCTCTGTGCCTTATTACTGTCAGGTCATCAGCTCTCTTTCATCACTTGTAATCTGTATTTTTGCAACAAAATGCTATGTAAATCTGGTCAGTGTAATTATACTTCCCCTATAATAAAACCCCTCCTGCCTTGCTGTTTTGCTGACCCCAGCCTTCTCCTGCATTTCTAGTTTATCCCAAAGGAACAAATAAATAATTAGAAATTAAAGGGCATTAAATAACTCGCAGTGAACAGGTAAAGCAGAAGCACATGGTTTTCACATATTAAACTCCCGCTCTTGTACAGAACAGGTCAGTTGACCTGCACCTGAGGGAGGAAGGAGTAGGAGCAGACCTTTTTATTCCTACTCCGGAGTCTGAAGGCAATGAGAAGCAGCAATCCTTCAGCCAAAAACCTGCATGTGCTGCCCTAGGACCATCACAGCCCAGCTATGAGTGGAAACATTCTTGGTTAGCCCGGACAGCAAACAGGCAGCTGAAGCTGCCCTGGCCTTCTGCCCGCAGGGATCCACCACCATGCCCAGGACCAGCCCCCAGCACCCTCCCTGCCCAGCTGCTGCCAAAGGCCTGGGGTTTGCCCAGCTCTGTAAGGTATAACCTGTATTTGCACCCCTGTTCACGTGGGCTGTCTCCATTTAGGTCAATAATATCAGCCTCAGGACCAAAGGGGAGAATTGCCTCTTTTCTGTCAGATATAACTCTCCCCACCTCCACTGACCTCGACTTAGCTGCTTGCAGCCTGCTCACACCAACTGAAGACCAAATGTTTTTTCTCTAAAATTGATGTAATTTATGCTGCTTCATCCAATTCTGAGGAGCTCAGGGCTTAGAGATTGACTCCCTCTCCTCCCTGAGAGATATATGTCCAAAATATAGCAAGGATCCTGTAAGCCCATCGGAGAAAAGGGAAGGATAGAGCCTATTTTGAGGTATAGCTGGGAAGCCAAGTGTTTGGGAAATCACACAATGCAAAGAAGAAGAAAAAAGGATGTTGCAGCATGCCCTTTTCTAAGCACAAAGTTTCAGATACACTAAGAGGACTGGTTTCTCAGCAAATTGAAGACACTTGACAGATAATGATTTTGTTAGCAGCCGAACTCAACAATGAGTGTGTCATCACCAAGCAGGGAAATGTATGAAGAAGATTAACAATTCAGAATAATTCTTCCATGAGACACAAAGGCCTGGTTTCCTGTCAGAAGGAATTGAGCCAACGTAAGAAAAAAGCATCTCCCCAGTCCTTTTAGATCCATCTTATTGTATTGCCTTAATAGGTTGCAATAGTAGCCTCGACCAAAATCAAGTTTTGCTGGCATGTTTTTCCCCCCACTGCTGCTAGGAGTAAACTTGGGACCTCCCCAAACCAGAGGATGACACTGGTGGGAATAGTGCCCCAGCAGGCCTTACGGCAGGGGGGGCTGGAAGCCACATGCACCGTGGACAACAAGCCATGCCAGAGCTCTACGCTGGCTTCCCCCGTGTCATCTGGACTTGCTGGCAGATATTCCCACTTTGGCTGCTTGTTCAGTGCCACAGATGTGCTCGCCAGACTGTAGGCGATTCAAAGCCACCCTCCAAGTCCAGACTAGTTAGAGTCTAACATTGTCATTCCTGCAGAGAAGGAACCACCTGAGCTTAGACTGTCCCTCTGAACCCAACAAAACCCTTCATGCCCCCTGAACTAAGCAGACTTGGGAGCAGTTGAGTGCTCAAATCTTGGGGGTGGCAATGCCAGAAAAGAGCAGATCTCAATGGAGATGATTCACTTGGACCTCTAGGTCAGATTACTTCCTTTGTCCTAACCTAGCGTTACATCTGCGTACTGGTTTCCCTCTCATTTTCTGAGCTGTATTCCTTCAGGAACTCCTGCTCAGACCTCAGTTTAATATGTCCCCCTGGCCATTATGGCCAAACAGCGTGAGCCCCATCAGCTTCCAGGAGCTTATCCCGAACAAACATTGTTTGCTTATCTGGAGATGCCCTTGTCCCTTCACCTACTGCGCACAGAAACATTTCTGAAGAATTATAATATCCAGAAGCAGCATATACAATTTACCAAGAAAACGGAGGATGCTACACCATTGCAATCTGTCACATGTACAATCAACAGGCTTAGGTATTTTTGAGAAGGCCTTGCAATGTAAAGCTGTACTGACTCCAAAGGAACCCCTAGTCACACTCTGCATTCACCTTTATTTTTTTGTTAAGGTTTCTGACTATGCTGTAACATCACAGGTCATGAACAGCTCTGTAAAAGACTTTATAAACCTGCCAGGTCCCAGATTATGGAGCGGCTCATCCTGAGCGCGCTCAGCAGCCCTGTGCAGGACAACCAGGGGATCAGGCCCAGCCAGCATGGGTTCATGAAGGGCAGGTCCTGCCTGACCAACCTGAGCTCCTTCAGTGACCAAGTAACCCTCCCAGTGGATGGAGGAAAGGCTGTGGATGGTCTCTACCTGGACTTCAGCAAGGCCTTTGGCACCCTCTCCCACAGCATTCTCCTAGAGAAGATGGCGGCTCATGGCTTACAC